CACACATACTCTTCCCCCTTTTTTTTTTTTTCCTTTTTCCTTTCTCCTCCCTCTCTGCCCCTTCATTTCTTGTCTCGGTTTATCTTTATTTTGTTTCATTCTGTACCTTGGATCCCTTTACAAGTAAAGAACTCTGCCAGAAACCCTAAATTCACTTCGTTCCAATGTAGCATATCCAGAGAAAGTGTTTCATTGCCTTAGTGTTCAGGTGACAACTACTGGAAGAGATTCTGTTTGGCCTGGGCTGTGGATGTCTCCCTAAACCAACCACCCGCGGAGGAGGATTGTCCGCTGTGCTTGATCACACGTGTGTGCCTGTTTTTGCTCATCAGTATATATTCCACTGGCAGTTCCTCTGCAAGGATTTATTCCAACTATTGTCCATTTTGTGGATGTCAGTATAGGACAAACTACACAGTAATACTTCGTAAATTCTTAGTTGTCATATGTAATTAGAGCTACTAATACAGTCTTTATACACACTAATAGCAAGTAGTCTTGCTGTTTTTCTGTATGCTGTAACTTTTCCTCTGTATTTCCTCACATGGTGCTTTAAAATTAATAGATATCCTATGAATTTTTTGCATCAAAAGTAATATACTTAACTAAAATTTGACACTATTACTTGTTGTAGCCCTAAAGACTAAAGTTGGTGGTTTTTATTCATTAGATGTGAATTTTGGGTGAGGATATAAAAGTTATCACCAACATGAGAGTGAGAAAATATTTTTACATAAGAAATGCTGTTCAGCAGCTCTAAGGAAGAGAAGAAACCCTCAGGCTTTTAATAAGTCAATTCCCCTTTAAATCACTTATTGGATCTAAGTCTCTGTTATTGCACTTTTTTAAAGTAATTTATTTTTACCTTAGACATCGCTTAATGAAGCAAAATCTAGGAATCAATCAGAGACTCTATTTGGGCAAGCAGTTGAGGCTGTAGAGTTTTGCTACTTGAACTATGGTCTGTGGTCTAGCCCACTGGCAGCCCCTGGAAGCTTGTTAGGAATGCAGACTCCCTGGGCTGAGCTCAGAACAACAGGATCTACAGTTTAATGAGATCTCCAGGCGATCTGTTGCACAAGGTTTAAGAAGCACTGCTCTGAAGCTTACAATCCGCTTCCTGGTATGGCTTACAGGTACTGACTGTTCGGGCTTTGAATATAACTGACATTTACAGGAAGGTGGGAATTTACCCTAGAGATGACACTTAGTGATGCAAATGTTGATACCCTCTTCCCATGACCCTGAGACAGTCATTGCTAGTTGTGGAAGTTGCTCTTCTAAGTACCAGGCTTCAGGATCCTGCACACTATGGCCAGACAGCTCCTGGGGAGGTGTAAGAGTCGGCCTGAGAGTTAAAACCTACTTATCACTGCACCTGTAGACGGAGTGTTGTTTGTGAGATAGTGTACCTTGCATCCTTTTACAACTGAAGATAGTAATTCTGCTACCTCTTGGAGATGATTTGAGCAATTTACCACATCTCTCTTTTTAAGGTTTTTTTTTTTTTTCTTTTTCCCTCTTAGATATGAAATACTTTTAAGGCCTAATTCTCAGGGTTGTTCTGAAGAAGACAAAAGAGAATGACATAAAATTTAGCACTGTCTGGAACGTGATGGGAACACACTACACTTCAATGCCTACTCACTTCATTATTGTCATTATCTTTAAGAAAACTATGGTTGGGGTCAGCACGTGGTGTAGTGGTTATGGTGCTGGACTCCCACATGGCCCACTGCAGTTCGAGTCCTGGACCTGTTGGCTTAAAAATTACGCTGGGCACTTGTGCACATGTGTGAGGCCCCAAATCCCAGAATAGAAGAGAGGGGATTGTGGCATGGCCACCCCACCTCTGGGGGAGTCATTTCTCCCTTGCCCTCTCACTGTCTCTATTTATTTCTGACAAGCACACATGCCTTATGACAAAACAATAAACTGAAAAAAACAAAACATGGTTATGCTGGAGTAGGAAATGGGCCAGGATCAATAAAATATAATTAAAGTGCCTCTCCTCTGCCCCCACTGTACTTTCTTACTGCCAGGTAAAATTGAATCACTAGTTTGATTAAATTCAGAATATTTCCCCTCTACTTCTGCCATGTCTGATATAAACCAACATAGTTTGAATAACTGTAATCAACATCCACATTAATCAGAATTCTGGCTTTATTATCATTGTGCAGTGAAAAGGACTAAAAGTTAATTCCAAGCACAGATAGTTACAGTTTGCTGAGCAGTATATTGTTCAGAAAACTCATTCAACATTGAGAGAAAGATATTTATTTGAAGAACAGAAATATTTAAAGTTGTTTGTTCCTAAAAACCCATTTCCCCCAAACCTACGCTTTGTAACGTCATATTAAACAAGGAAGTGATTGCATACAGTCTAGTTAAGCAATTAAATGAGAACAGCATTTGGCAGAATAAAATACTGCACAAATGTGTGACTCCATTATTTAAATCCAAGTTTCAACTTCTAAAGACAGGTTGCCCCTAATAGATATAAATATATAATGTTGATTAAAAAAAAAAAACAACACGGGAGTATATAAAAAAATATAAAAAAGAAAACTAACATGTCTACCCCCAGCTCCATAAAGGAAGAGAGTAAAGATGCTAAAGAAAAGGGAAAACAGACATTCTTTTTTCTGTTTTCCCATATAATCTGCATTTTTTTTCCTGCCTAAGGGTTACCCATGTAAGCTGGGAGCTATAATGAAGACCTGGGAGTGAAAACATAGTTAATCAGAGAATATAATTGTGCCGGCTGCCTTGTTTTTTCTTTTAGAATCTTGGAAACTTTCCCCCCAAAAAATGGGGACTTGAAAAAGAGAGTTAAATCAGAAATTCTTTAAACATTGCGTTCAGGTATGGCAAACAAAATTCAAGCCCCACCAGGGGCTATAGTGACCCTATGGGTGTGTAATAGAGGAACAAAGTGTTATTACCAGGGAGGAACAGACTGAGCACCAGGCTCAATAGTCCGCATTACATGGTACTTAGGATCTTGATTTAGAAAGAACATCAACTAAATCTATATAAAATTTTCAAGAGAAAAATGTCCAAGAATTCTAAGCTTGTTCTTCTGGACTGAATAGCTATAGCTACATGACTATGATTTTTAAAACCGACCAGGTCTACAGTTGAGAGAGACCGGGAAAGAGAAAAGGTTCAATAGCCCATTCTACAGAAGCTGCTGTAATGGTATGCAATGGCTAGGTCATTATTTTCTGGTCCCCTATGCTCCTTGGAGGGCACAATCACAATAATATGTAGTAGCAAATTGCTGTGTCACAATAATTACAATGTTGACCTATTCTTGGGGACTATCAATGTACAAATCATGTCCAATCTTGCTCGGAAGACCCGTTTGAGAAGGGCCTGTTAAGGGATGGTAAACTCGCATATGTATCTCTTACTGCTGCGACAGACCTCATCGCTCCATTTGCCTTGTGCCGACTGGGAGAACAGGACGCAGTTTTCCCTCTTGCCACCATTAGGTTGTGCACGGTCCCAGTTGAGGAAGGAGACAGCGAGTCCATTGACATCAAGAAACTTGCCTTCTGTTGCCATGTCGTTGATGCCCAGCCAGAAGTCATTGACACCTGGCAGGCTCCTTTTGCCATAGTCTCGGAGGGCGTTGATCTCGTCGGCATTTCTAGGGATAACCAGAGTCCCGCCCTTGGAAATGCAGTCTTCATTGGCTTCATGGAAATGCTTCAAGCCGTCTGAAGCAAGATAGCATTTCTTGTGAACTTTGGTGCCTCGAAGACAGACTGTAAAGATGGAAAACTGGACATAGTAAAGTGCTTTCCAAAAAAATATAAAGTGTGCATGTGTGTGAGAGAGCATGAGCGAGAGACAGATAACCCTGGACATGGTCTTATCATGCTTTGATTCCCTTCCCCCAGACTTTCAACCAATCAAGATCTTGGGTGCACGCACCTGGTGTATTTCAGGCTGACTTGGGATCCAAACCTGGCCAGCTGTGTGGCTCCCAGCACTGCAGATTAACGTGCTCCCGCCTGTACCGCTGAGGCTGGCCCTAAGATACTTTGTGAGTGCATTGTGCCCAGAGCTAGATCAGCAAACAGTGATAATTATTTGTGGAAAAATGATGTATGATGATCACGGCAAATTAACGTGGATTAAATATTGTGTATGTGCTGGATGCTGTGCGGTGCCTTGGCCGTCAATGAACTGGTACCACTTCATGAGGTTGTGAGAATTATTTCATTACCTCGGTTTCTACATATTAGGATACTGAGGCTTAGAGAAGCTGTTGTTTATAAAAATTGGCATGTAAAAATCAATCGAACTTACTTAGCATGTAAGGTCCCAACTACACAAACCCAGTTCTGTCCCACCCTCAAACCGTGGCCTTCAACCTCCTGCTGCTTTGACATGCTATTTGAGCTACGTTGTGTAGGTCCAACAGGAGCTGAATTTCCTCAGACTTTTAATATTAGTTGATGTTTTGTGATTATTAAAAAAACAAACTGGGGCCAGCAGTTGGCGTAATGGCTACGTCGCTGGACTCCCATGTAGTCGACCGTGGTTTGAGTCCTGGACCCAGCTGCTTAAACTCACGCCGGGCACGTGTGTGTGTGTGCCCAAGATCCCAAGAGAACGGAGGAGAAGGGATTGTGGTGTGGCCATCCCCTCTGGGGGGTGATTCCTCACTTTCTGTCTCTCTGTCACTCTCTGTCTTTCTGGTGACTGCACGTGCCCTGTAGCAAAAACCTCTCAAAAACAAACAAACAAAAAACCAAACAAATGAAAAACGAAACCCTGGGGGCCGGCTAGTGGTGTGGTGGCTAAGGCACTGACTCCCACATGGCTGACTGCAGTTTGAGTCCTGGACCCAGCAGCTTGAAACTCATTGCTGGTGGGTGTGTATGTGCCCAAAATCTCAAGAGACTAGAGGAGAAGGGATTACAGTGTGGCATGCCCCCTGGGGGCTTTTTTTCTTACTTTCTCTCTATCTCTGTCTCTCTGGGGAATGCATGTGCCCTATGGCAAAACAATCTCCATCCCCACCCCAAACCCAACCAACCTAACAAACAGAAAACAAACCCCGGGGGCCAGCAGGCGTCATGATGGTTAAGGTACTGGACTTCCACACAGCCAACCACCATTCAAGTCTCAGATCTTGGCTTGCTTTCTCACTTTCCCTCTCCCTCTTCCTCTCTCTCTGTTTCTGTCTGGTGAGCACACATGTCCTGTAGCAAGTTAAAAACTAATGAAGATAAAATTAATAACAAAACAAAACCCTGAAAGTCCAAGTTTGCCTATTGGGGAAACAGTGGTTATCTTAAGCAGATAACTGAACTTGGTGATGTTAAGAGTATCCAGGTAAAACCAAATATAAAGATAGTTTTAAGGCATAGCATTGGAAAATCAGGCTCTCAGACCATAGTTCCTGGCTTTAGATCTGATCTCTGACATCTACTAGCTGTGTAAACCTTAGACAAATTACATAATTATCTATGCCTCAGTTTTCTCATCTGTAAAATAAGAATGATCATAATAGCGTAAGTTGTTAGAGGAACCTACATTAGCGGAATATTCAACATAAATCGGTAGAGGAGTACTGTGTTCGCGTTTCAGTATTTAGAATGCCTGACTGTGGGTAAAGGGTTAACGAAACTTCTTTCCCCTTGCATGAACACTTGGCCTTCTTCTGACTTTTTAATTCTGTTTCCCTGGAAACCTGGTAAAGGGAGTATGTCATCCCTGTTACTAGGCAACATTGGGTATGATGAAAATGACCCCAGTTTGGTGACATACATCTGGCTTGAGAGTTTATAAATACATTCCGGGAAGTCATAGCTGGGGTCTCCCATGACGTGGAGAACTGTAACCGGGCAGGTCTCTTGCAGTGCCCTGGGAAGCTCTGCTTTTGGAGTGCCTCCGGGGGTAGGTGCCTCGTAAGCCAGGCTGCTGCGGATTCTGTCCCTTGTGGCTCTTGGCTCCTTCCTGAAGAACAACTCTGGACAGTAGCACGTGCAGCTGCATAGGCTGCCTGGGGCCTCGGTTCCCCAGGAAAGCAACAGCAGGCGCTGTCCTGTTGGCAAGCTGTGGCTCTCACCAACGTCCCCCCCCACGTGTGTATGAGGCCGAGTGTGACTGTTCCCAGGAACCTGTGCAAGCTGACCCTTAATAGAGCTCCCAATGGGCACTTGGTTAGTAGCCCAAAAATGCTGAGTATTTTAGTCATCTAACACTTCCTTGATTCTGTTTTATTATCCAATAATTGTTGACTGATTTATGCAATGTATTCCAGAGCGCCCTGTATTTATTTCTATAATTCACATACTTAGAGTAGGCTGGCACATCAGGCCAGCCGCCTAAAACCACCATCTCCCAGTTTTGGGGTCCATCTCACTTGGATGCATGACTGGTTTGGCAATGTTTCGTTTGTCAGAACTAGACATACAGCCCAAACATGGCTTTAAGCCACTGGGGATCACTGCTTATGTCCCCCTCTCCTTTGGGACAAGGTGGCGAGGAGATGAGGCCTTACCTGTCTGTAGGGCTTGCATTTCCTTCAGGGCATTGACTTCTCTCCAGAGCTTTTCGACTTGAGTCTTCAGATCACCATCCTTTTCTGGAGGAGATTTTAGAGTGGGGTGGGTAGGTGAAATGGAACGATATCATTAAAATGAAATAAACTTTGTATTTCAGAATCCAAGGTAACAAGGTTTTGATGAAACTGAGCTTAGTATACCTAAACAAGCTAATAATGCATAAAAGTGACTTGGGCCAGATTGTCGGTAGGGATAGTAACAGAACGCATTTCTGTGAAATGCCTGCTGGTCTCTCCAGGCCCACCTGTGGCTTCTGGCTCATTGACTTTCACATGCTTCCATGAGTGAGGTCTGGCTCACTTTCCCTGGGTGTCCTTTTTGGGTCACAGTGCACCAGCTCTGGCCTTTTCCTTATCAAGATTAAATAGCATCTCTTCTGAGAAGACATTCATAATTACTCTCTAAGGTAGTTAGCACCCCTTCTGCTCATCTTTCTTTGAAACTTATTTGTTTTTCTTCAGAGCACTTTCTCTGATCCGTACTTTATTTTGCTTGCTTTTTATTTATTTATGTTTGCTATAGGGTATGTACTTGCCAGAGAGAGGGAAAGTGAGAAATCACCTTCCAAGGGGGAAGGCCACACCACAATCCCTTCTCCATGCTCCTCTCAGGATTTTGGGTACACACACACACACACACACACACACACACACACACTTCGTATGTTTTTCAAGCCGCTGGGTTAGAGACTTGAACCAGGGTTGGCTATGTAGGATCTAGCCACCTTAACCTCCATGCCACTTGCTGATCCTGCTTGCTTAACTTTCTGCCTTTTTATCCATGGTATGTCCAATGTTCACCATGATGTGAAGACATAACCGGTGCTCTTAGGATTTGTTGAATGAATAAACACTTTACAGTACACAAAATACCTTTGCTATTTCCATTTGCTCTTCAAAAATAGCTATGAGGGAAGGAAAACGAGATAACCTTGGGAGAATGCAGGTGAGCTCAGTAAGCTCATTGACTTGGCAGATAAGTGACAGAAGTCACACAGACTTTCTTGGGCCCCTAAGCTCCCTTTCTTTAGTATCCCTATACCACTGATGCATCGGGTATGATGGAGGTCACGGAAAATGCTTCTCCATTAGGGATGAGCAACTTATTTAGTCTTGAATACTCCTAGAAGAAAGGAAAGAATCTTCATGCTGTCCTTGACTAACCTCAGCTTACCAGTAAATGGAAATGGAATAATTTTGCCAAATAAAAAGAGTCCCTATTGGGACTCTTAGAGATTGTCAGCTTGTGAGCTCTTCAAAGGCAGGACTGATAAATCATATGCAATAATAAAAACAGGAAAGCCTGCATATACTGTGTGCCAGCAGGTTCTCCGTGCTCCCACGTGTTAGACACTATTGCTGTTTCCATTTCACAGAAGAAGAAATGGAGGCGCAGAAAGCTGAGTGAACCTGCTGAAGGTCGCCCAGCTTGAAAGATGCAGTTGGGTTTTGAATTTCCCTGTCTCCAAACCTGTTCTCTCCTGTCCCTCCGATCTGCTTCTGCACGGTGACTGCTCCCACCTGTTCGGTTCCTAGTACCTGCTCTCAGAAAGAAGAAACTTCAAGCTTAAGATTTGCCCTTAGGGACCAGCAGATGGCATAATGTTCATGTTGCTGGAATCTCCCACAATCTACTGCAGTTCGAGTCCCAAGCCCCACGGCTTAAAACTCACTCCAGGTACGTGTGTGTGATCCCAAGAGAAGAATGCAGGAAAAGGAATTGCGGCATGGCAATCCTCCCCAGCCCAGGGGGTGAAATCTCCATTTCTGTCTCTCTATTTCTCCAGTGAGAAAATCTCTCAAAAACAAACCAAAACAACAACAACAAAACATTGTCCCTAGCTGCCTCTTTGTGAGGATGCCATAGAGAGACTTGTTCGATCCTGGATTTTTTTTAGGACAAAGTAAGATCCAAATCTGCTAATTCATTGCCCTCTTAAACGTGTGCCTTGAGAGCCAGGTGTTCTCACGTTTGGGTTAGGAAAACCCCTCTGCAATGTTGGGGTGGTCTCTACCTCCGTCTCACTCAGTGCTGCACAGCAATTTTCAGTCTCCAGAACTGATCTCAGAAATATAACCCAAGGATTTTCTCAGCAGGACCATTTCTTCCAGAATAAATAGAAGGGTGCATTCAGAATGCAAACTCTCAGTTGTCTAGGGGCTAGGCTTGCAAAGGCTACTGAAGACTTGCTTCTAAGTTACAAGTGGTCAACTTTACAAATGTCATGTTCTACCCCTCCCAGCCTCCTGCTCTATTCTATTGAAGTAAGTGGCCTCCATTGGGAGATTGTAAACATTGTAATTAGCGTGAAGACACATGAATTAGTATTAGGCTCCTGGGAGATCAGTATGGAAGTCATTATCCAGGTGATTTGGCTTTGGTTTCCATCCTTGGTGGCTAATGTTGCTGTGTTTTGTCTACAGTTAACAAAGGGAATACATCAAACTACTGTTTCACTGTAATACATTATATTGTATTCATTACTGCAACACATATTTTGTTGAAGTCTATGAAGTAAGTTCCAAGGAAATCCTGAGCTTCCGGAAAGCTTCCTTTCATTTTATTCTTGTTTCCCCAAAGTAGGTACAGCATAAAAATGTAAAAAATTAATTCCCAAAAGACATGAAATAAAATGATAATATGGTGTTAGGTTGGCAAGGTATATGGGAATAAACACTCTGGCGATGGATGATGGGAGCATAGTTGGTGTTATCAGGGAAGATCAGAAAGTAGGACTAACTAACTGGGAACCAGCATTTAGCGTAATGGCTATATCGCTGGACTCCCACGTAGTTGACCGCGGTTCGCATCCTGGACCCAGTGGCTTAAAACTGACGCCGGGTGCATGTGCGTGCGTGCCCAAGATCCCGAGAGGAGAATGGAGGAGAAGGGATTGCGGCATGACCATCCCCCCTAGGGGGGTGATTTCTCGCTTTCTGTCTCTATGTCTCTCTCTGTCTGTCTGGCAAGCGCATGCGCCCTATAGCGGTGGGCGGGGGGAACCTCTCCAGAAAGTAGGACTAACTAACTTGCAATTTCACTTCTAGAAATGTATCCTACCTTCCTAGCATGGGGATCAATACATGTGTATAAAGTGCTTCCTTGGAGTGTTGTAGCAAAAAGCGACGTACTGGATTCCACACAAACATTTGAATCATGAGCCCACTCCAACAATGGAATAATACCCAACTGTTGAAAGGAATAAGGTATGCTTTGTATTGGTAGCATCCAAGATTTCATAGATTCAAATAAGTTCATTTGCCTGACAGACAAACATTTTGCCCAATCAAGTCTTATTTTGTTAAAAATACCAATTTTAATTATACATTTGAAAAATTCCTCTGGAATATTATGCCCAATAGTTACTATCGTAGATGATACTAGGATGAGGATTGGGAGGGAGAAGATAGCTTTAATTTTTGATTCCATAAACTTTGGTGCTATGTCATGGTACTTAAAATGTTTTAAAAATATGTGGGGAAGAGGGAAAATAACCATTCCATCAACCTAGGCTTATTGCTCCATCTTCTGAGAATCTACTTTCCTGGATCTAATGGTAGAAATTTAGCAAAAACTGTTTTGGGGACTGGTACGTAAAATGTCTACCAGTTGGTTAAAAATGTGTGAAAATAAGTGTGTACGGCCATGTGTATGGGGGTGAGAAATGTACACTCCAGCAGGCAGTGAGCACACGTTTCCATGTTCACACTCCTCTTCTAGTAACACTGCCGGGGGGTCACTATTTTGTCACATCACTCCAGCAGTGAGGAAATACTGACAATGAAAAATGCCACCTCACCCAGAATCTTCTTTGTCCTTCCTCTTGCCCTGGTATTCAGGGATAACCTCATCTACTCATGAGAAAGGTTTTTACCTTTCACTGAGAGAGGAGACAGGGAAGTGTAATGTCCTATAAGGAGAAAAAATTCCACTCCAGAAAGCTTTCATCAGACCTGGGACCAGCAGTTAGCGTAATGGCTATGTTGCTGGCCTCCCATGTAGTGGACCGCGGTTTGAGTCCTGGACCCGGTGGCTTAAACTCACGCTGGGTGCGTGTGTGTGCATGCCCGAGATCCCGAGAGGAGAATGGAGGAGAAGGGATTGCGGCATGACCATCCCCCCTAGGGGGGTGATTTCTCGCTTCCTGTCTCTCTGTCTTTCTGGCAAGCGCACATGCCCTATAGCAAAAACTTCTCTTTAAAAAAAAAAAAAAAAAAAAAAAAAAAAAAAAAAAAAAAAAAAAAAAAAAAAAAAAAAAAAAAAAAAAAAAAAAAAAAAAAAAAAAAAAAAAAGCTTTCAACAGACCTAAATTGTATAAATAAATGCACTTGGAAAGGGTGCTTTACAATAGTGAAACACAGACAAGCCCCCTTTTACCCACCAGCTGCCTGTGTCACGTCACACGAGACTTTGACCTTCTTGGTATTTTTTTAGTGCGTATTGTTACTAATGAAGTGAAATTGATAACAATGCCAAAATATTTACCTGGAAATCTGATAAGAAAACTACTAGAAGGATGAGATCAACCGTTACCCCATGTCTTGATAGTATTTTCTTTTGCTTTGGTTTCAGCATAATGCAGGTACATTGCCCTCACTTCTTACCAACTTTAAAAAGTGTTTCAACCCAATTCAAGGCGCCCAAAATTTGAGATTACTTGGAGACTTCAATTTTGTTTGAAAATATTACATACTGTATGACTATGCATGTTGACAAACACTTTTAAGTTAAAGAGATGTTTAATTTTTCAGTCTGACATGAACAAGTTTAAATATATGGTATAGACCATTCCTATATATCCCTATATGGGGCTGTATGTCTGTGATATCTTTGATGAAAAAGTCACATTTACCAGTAACCATTAAGTAAGCTTATAGTTAACGGACACATTTATCTGGCCAGTTACTCAGTATCTAGAAGGAAAACAGTGGACCCTGCTTGTCCCATCAATGTGTTCAATATCCAGGTGAACTCGCTCTTAAGACCATTCTACGTTTCTGTATTTTGCCCACCTGACAAAGGTATGTAGAACAGCAACATTTTATATTATAACTTTTATCTTTCTGTAAAGAAAAGTCCCACCACATGATTCCTCTAAATATAAAATTGTCCCAGACAATGAAAAGGTCTCCCTTCAATGCCATATACACCTAATGGCCATGGCGTTGACACCAGGGACAGTCTCCAGGAGGTGTTTGGAAATAACATTGTTTAGCACCTCCTCACACCGAGTCAGCCTAGAATTGTGCTGGACCAGGAAGCCCCGTTTACCTTTCACTCGGCGTTTGCTGTGCTTCCTGGGTTTTAATCTGGACGCGTGGCTGCTGGTCTGGTCCAGGAGTAAGGTGATCACCAGGACGCAAATGACAAATCCATTCTTTGCCATGGCTCCTGCAAGCCTGCCAGGCCACTTTTCCAGCCGCTCTGAATCTGCTATGGAGCAAGTAGACTGCACAGTCTCATCTTGCTCGGGACAGCCGGTGGCCAGCTTTATAAACGCGAGCTGCAAGGTTGGCCGGAGTCCTGCTGACGAAATGTTTGAAGGCCCCTTCTGGCTGCAGTGTGAGGCAGCTCCTTGTTCTCATGCCTTGTGGGAGGCTTTTTATTTATCATTTTTATTTCTGCTGCATTTTCGGGTCGATTCATCTTTTCAAGTATATAAGTTAACAAGTTTTGCCTGCTTTCTTTTTTAAAAAAATTTTGTTTTAAAGTCTGGGAATTTTTTTTTTTTTTTTTGAATACCCAATGTTTAAGTCTTTGATTTGGAACTCTGAAGTTGACCAAATTTTCTGAAAAATAGATTCAATTCCATTTTCAGGGCAAATAGAACAAATGGTTTAAAAAAAGAAAGGAAGAAAGAAAGCTAGTTTGTGTGTGCACACAAGGGGACTACAAATGTTTTATGGAAAATGGAATTAATGTACGTGTTTATTTTGGTGCAAAACTTGAAATCCAATGCATAATTTTTTCGTAAACACATTTTCTGTGAACTTTTAAAAGATCCCCCCACCCCATTGTGTGTGTGTGTGTGTGTGTGTGTATGAGAGAGAGAGACAGACAGACAGACTGACTGACTATGACACCTTACATTTAAACCAGTGTGCACACACACTCATGCCTACCCAGCTCAAGTGAAGCTTGAGAATGGTTTGTTCAATGGGATGTATGGAGATGGCTGGAATGGATACTGCAGGGTGAAATAGAAGACCTTCCTCTTCTGGAGTTTTGTAAATCCATCAAGAATTACGTTCATGAGAAAGCACATAGTACAGTGAAAAAATGGAAAAGGTTAATTATTTCCATAAGAATTAAAGTAACATCAGCGATAGTGTTCAGACCTACTGTTCAGCATTTTTTTCATTGAAGCTACCTCCAACACATTAAATCACACTTTCAAGTGGATTCTGTAAATAGCAGAGAAATATAATGGAAGATTCAAAGTAATTATTTTTACCTTAACAATGGGTTTTGAGGACCACACTGGGAACCAGATAGGCTTTTGCATTCTAGTTTGGATTGACTCTGAAAGACCTGGGCTATGAAAATGTACTTTGATTTCAGTAGGGAAACTGATTAATTCTTACAGTAGATCTTATGATTGATCAGAAATTCTCTTTGCCCTCTTCCCAAATCCTTTAAGAAAAGATTTCAGGTTTCAAAATAATAATAGAAAGAAAAGGATTTCTTTTGGACACTTGATCAGTGCTGTGCTCAAAACAGACTTATTTGGGAGGAAAAGAAAAGAGACATTTTCTCTTTGAAATAAATCAATATTGCTTTTAAGTTCTTTGTCTTCCCATTAGAGTCTCTGACACTTTTTTGATTTGTTTTCCTTTGAACCAGATCCTAAAGCTCATGCTGTCTTCTTTTCAAATTCATAGACTTTATTTTTAAACTACAGTTTTATTTTTTATTTTCTTGAAGTCCATTTATTTCTTCCATGGTGAGAGAGCCAAAAAGAGTGCAAGATGAGGGATAATACTCTAAGGAGTTCTTGAAACTGCAACTTGCCTCCAGCCTCAGTTGGCTCACTCATACGCACCAATGCCCAGTGTGATCAGAGAGGTCTCCAGGCATGAACCTGGACCTTTCTCTTATGACTCCTTCTCACAAAGCGTTACACTGTACCACTGTGCCACCATCCAGCCCCAAATAACAGACCTTAGGTTTAGATCTACACACAAAAAAAACTGAGCAGGAAGTACAGGGAGTTCCCATAGAGCCCTTCTTTCTACCTTGCTTCCTTCCCAACTCCCCCATGTTTCTACTATTATTAATGTATGGAATTCAACTGTGAATGAGTATTGATTTATTAGTATTAACTAATACTAATGCACAGTATACATTAGGATTCACTTTCAATGATGTAGAATTCTGTGGGTTTCCACAAATATGAAGTGATGCCTATACCATTATGGTAGCCTACAGAATAGTATCAATTCCAGATGTTTGGTTGAGTTAAATATTTGAGAATTCACCTCTCCCTGACCTCCACTTCCTGGTGCTCCACAGCAGGGGCCCCTAAACCCTGGGCCATGAACCAGTATGTTAGGAATTGGGCTACACAGCAGGAGGTGCATGGTGAGGGAGTAAGCAAGTAAGCAAAGCTTCATCTGTGTTTACAGTCGCTCCCCATTGCTTGCAGAAGCTCTGCCTCCCATCAGATCAGTGGCAGCATTAGATTGTTCCTGGAACCACCAGATGGGACCGTCTAGTTACAGGAAAACAAGTTTAGGGCTCCTGCTGATTCTGCATTCTGGTGCATTGTATAATTATTTCATTATATATTGTAGTAACAGTAGAAATAAAGAGCACAGAAAATGTAATGTGCTTGGATCATTCTCAAACCATCTCCCCACAGCCTCTAGTCTGTTGAAAAATTGTCTTTCATAAAACCCACCTCCAGTGCCAAGAAAGCTGGGGACTGCTGCTTCACAGGACTCTCCCCTGGCTCCTCCAATGTCATACACAAGTCCTGCTAGGTGACCTTATTCCTTTCCATTGTTTCAAATTATCTATCTAGGGCTCTAATGTTGGCCCTCCCCTTCCAACTTGACTTGCTTCCCGTCAGATTCATGTTTTTAGTTGCCCACCTCCATTTGCATGACTCAGACATCTTAAGCCCATAGTTATTAAAAATTAAATTGCAGGGGCCAGCAGGTGGTGTGGTGGTTAAAGGTGCTAGACTCCCACATGACTGACTGTGGTTCAAGTCCCAGACTTGGTGACTTGCTTTCTCACTTTCCTTCTGCCTCTTTCTCTGTCTCTCTCTGATCGAATTGAAAAATAATAAAGTTAAATAAAATGATTATTTAAAGAAAATTAAACTGTAACTCTCTCCCCATTAATTTGCCATAAATTAAAGTTTTAGGGGCCAGCAGGTGGTGCAATGGTTAAGGTGCTGGAATTCCACATGGACAACTGTGGTTCAAGTTCTGGACCTTGAGGCTTAAAATTTATGTTGTGTGTGTGTGTGCACGTATGGTCTAAATCCTAAAAGGAGAATGGAGGAGAAGGGATTGTGGCATGGCCATCCTCCTGGGAGGTTATTTCTCACTTTCCCTCTCACTGACTCTTCTCTGTCTCTCTCCAGTGAGTGCATGTGCCCTATAGTTAAAAACAAAACTTAAAAAAATTCCATTCCTCCCAAATGTCCTCCATTACAGTGAGTATCACCATCACCCACTTGGTAGACCAATTTAGAACACTGGGAATCATGTTTGAGCCCCATGCTTGCCCTCAACCTACCTCCCCACAACCTTGTCAGCAAGTGTTATGGTTTCTACTCCTATGTTCTACTCCCATGTTTCTACTCCATGGTTCATGACTTTTGTCTCACTCCTGCCATTATCCCATCCCATCCCATGACACCAACAGCTCCTTCCTAACCCACCTCGTCTCAGCTCCTGCCCAACTCAAATGAGAGCTCTATGCTTTGTGCCTGTAATTGTCACTTTCATACTTAAATCTCACCAAATGTTTCTATTGTATTTAAAATAAAACCTAGACATCTTATCAAAATTTATGAGGTCCTCTTACCTGGTCCTTTTTGATAACTTTCTCTGGTAACAGAGACCTTTTGCAATTTTAAAATACTACCTAAATCTCTTTTCTCACATACATTGTATCTTTCCATATGTCTTTGTTCTGTCACTGGGTTCCATCCATTTCCAATGTCAAATTGTGTGTGTGTGTGTGCCATTTTGTACATGGTAGACTCCCCTTGTCCTTCAAATCTGATTTCAAACGTTACATCCTCACATACCTTCTCTATGTGCACAGTCGAGGATGGGGCTACTGTTCTCCATCAAAGTGCCCTGTTTCATTATCACAATTTGGAACTCATCTAAAAAATGTATTTACTTAATTTATTTACTTCGTGGATACTGATGTGTAAGTTCTTGGAGGGCAGGGACTGTGTTGGGTTAACTCAGTTCTTAATAGTATGGAGCACAGTGCTTGGCACAGTATTTGCTCAACAAATATTTATGAATGTGTGGCAGGGCAGTTTGGCTTTTACTTCCTTCCCTTCCCACCACCTCTCTGAGGCTCCTGCAGCAAGGCACTTGACCAGCCAAAGTAAACAGCAATTCAATCCATGGAAGAGTAAAGAGACCAAGATACATCTGATGGACTAACACTTGAAGTCATGCTAAGAAGTCATCACTCAGCACTTGTAAACTCTTCTTGTCTTGAAGGTGGTTGACCCAAGGTTAGACAGAGATGGGAATTTTCCTTTTACTTCTCTTCTTCCCGTAGGGATTCCACATTATGTCTACCCACATTCATGGAAAAAGTGGAGGAAACAAACTAAAGGGCCAATGTGACTGACTAGGAGAAGAGAAGAGGGGTGGGTCTGACAGTGTAGTTATATCTGAGAACAGTCTCAAATTAAGGATTTTTGTCCCTGTCACAACAGACATGGCCAACTCTGTTGGAAGACCTCCTTTCCCCAAAACCTTGATAGAAGAAAAATCTCACAAGATGGTAAAAATCTGGGGGAAAAAAAATCACATCAAGAGCCACACACATATCAACGATAACAGGGTGGGACATTCCTTCTCCAGCTTATCCTTGGTGAAGATCGGCCTCTTGGTTTTCTTGAAGGCTGAACAATTCCTTTTCTGTGGAGTGGAGTGATGTCACCAGCTCGTCTTCTGGGCTGGACCTGAGCTTCTAAAAGGGCTATTTAAGAAGAAACACATATTTATAGCCAGGGAATAGGAACTATAAAAATATTGCCTTTAGACAAAAAGTGTTTTGATGAGGATTTAAAAACTGTCACCAGGGTTCTATTTTCTTTAATAAATTGCTGTTTGTAACACATCCCTGACCACCCTGGGTAACTGGTATGTGTCTTCCATTGGTTGCTATTTTAAGGCTGCTCTAAGCTGTTTTCCAGAGTCTCAAATTTTAACAAATATATTTGTCCTCATTGCTATTTCTCTCCTAATACTCAAAGCCGACCATGTTTGGGGGCTGTGTTCAGAAGTTTAAGGCAGCATTTATAGGAGG